CGCGCACTAAAAACTATGGTCCGGAAAGTCGACAGCCAACCTGATAAGTCAATTCTCTCTTGAACAGTCACGCTGTAGTGGTTCCTGTTAAATGGGGCCTGCATGGCGACTCTCGGTGTAAGAAACGACATTCCTCTCCGACGACCAGTCTTTGTGGAGGGAGAAAGGACGCAAGGTGTCCGTAACACTCGTACACAACGGCTTTCGACTCATTTCAGCCACTGTGCTCACGCATAGCCCCGTTAGTCTTGACCGTGTTCTGCCGTCGGAACAGGTGGGTGTACGAAAGTTGAGGTTTGATGCACGGTTATCTTACTATAAGCCGAACTAATCACTGCCTGCCTCAGGGCAGATGTGATCCTAACCGCCCGCTGTGGACGAATCATTTGTAACACAACAGTTTCTGGACGTTTCATGGTTTCTTGTTTCAGTGTAACAATGAAAATGACAGGACCAGTCAGTCTACATATATAACATTGTCGGATGCCTTTTTACGCACAATCTGGATCTGTGAAGACCTAACAGCATAAGTGCCAGACCGAACTCCAAATTTGGGCAATATCTAGCTGGGTTTGGAGCTCATCTCATCTTTGGAGCCTTCAGTTAGGCGTTGATATCGGATTCAGAGCAGCGACACTGAACTTACTGTGTGGCTAGGCAGGAGTGTGTCCAAACTACCTCAGCCGTCTTTCGTGGATGGCGCGAGATATCCTAGCAATGATGATCCAGCGAGTGGGGTTTTTTTTCATCATAGACATCAGTGTAACTTCGTCAACAAAACCCTCTCGAACAACAGCGGTTTTGAATATCGGGTATTCAATCTTTTTCCCCGAACACACTTCAGCGTTTACAAGAATCAAAGACTGTGTTTATAAGACTTCGATTATGACAAAGTGCCTGAAGGCAGACGGTGAACATGAGGAATAATCACAGCTTGGAGATCAAATTTCACAAATCGTGTCATTACGATCTAAACTATAGTTATCATGTGCTATGGGTAGATGATCAGGGGAAAGGAGAGGGATGTTTCTGACGCGAATCTTTGATGAAGACGTAAATTGGCTGGCAGAATTTTTAATTTTTAGGCGGGAACTGCGGCCCTTAGGAAGCAAGAACTAAAGAAAGGCATCGATTTCCGAAAATCAACATCTTTTAATATTGAGAAATACGATTGAAAGCATGATTTTGACAGACCTCGTAGTCGACAAAGTCTGGTCAAGGTTCTGTAGGCGTGACTGATATTCGGCTAGCTCGGCGCGGAGATTGCGATGCCGCGTGTTTTGTTCTTCCATCTGGCTGTTCCAGTCCACAGCGGCAAGTTGGGCGAGTTCAAAAGCGGGACCAATAGGCGCGTCCTTGAAGTCATCTCTGAGGTCGTCCTCGTTGGATAGTCGGCCGCCATCGACTTTTCCAACGCTCTTATTGCCTCCCGTGAGTGCACTAATTGCCTCCAACCGAGCAACTTCTGCAAGGGTTCATAAAGT